CAGACAGTTCTTTTTGAAAGGATAGCTGAAGTTTCCCTGTATTTTTTTTTTCTCTGAGAAGAAACTAAACCTTTCTATATACTGGACTGTAAAGAGAACCTCATTCTAGAAGCTTTTATTGTGGGAAGTCTGTTCTGTTGGTTTTTTTTCTTGTTTAAAAAGACCAGTCTGAGATGGTCTTTAAATAAATAAAAAACAAACTAAAAAAATTAGAGAGCACTTGACTCTCAAAAGGTTTGTACATCCCAGGCACAGCTGTAGAATTCTAAAAATGTTACTTTACAGCAAGAAATAATTTTAACCTTGCTAAACACTGTTTCAGACCATAGTTGATTTTTGTCTATGCCTGAAGTTTTGCAGGGGCAAGTACTGTAACAGAGGCAAGCCTCTGGTAACAGAAAGGGTTATTGATCTACAGCTGTAGCCTGTGCACCCAGCAAAGTATTTGCTGTCAAAGGGTTACATAAAAGAGCCACAGGAGTTCTAAAGTGTTCCTAGTTTTCAGTCTATAGAGACAATATGGCCCAGCAGATAATAATGTATTCTGAACAGAATCATTTCATCAGAGGTTTAGATCTATCTGTCTGGATTTCTTCTGGAAAGCTTAAGTAATTTAGGCTGTGACTTAGAGCTGAATGGAAGCTTGTGGTTTTGAAAGCATGGAGGTGAAGCAGTTTGGCTCTTCAGAAATTGATAATGGAACTGTGACAACCGTGAGCATTTTTAGTCTATAAAGTAACAAGCATGAGAATGTCTACATTAAGTGTGGGCTAGTATGTAATATGCATATGAAAAGCCAATTGATCTGGAAGGCTGTAATCAGTATAAATTCCAGCTATTGAATTATTGATAAAATTGGAAGCTGGCCATAGGGACCTTAATTTGACTGTTATCTGATTACATTAGAGAAATTATAAATTTATTCTGGTCTGTGGTCAGCAAGTACATTTACATAAAGTGGAATAATGAAAACGCAGTCACGTTGGTACTTCAGAATTATGAACTTTTTGGTGGAACAGAATTCTTTAAGGGTATATCTGTTCAGAGAAGGGGGGAGGAAATCAAGACTGATGTAGCCAGGCAAGCTATCTTCATATTCTTCCCAGTTCAGACTTTTTATAATGATCTGTATTCTATGGGCTACTAGACTAGAAATTACTATTCACGGCAAGGAAAGGAACCCCGTTGCCTTTCAGCTCTTGTACAATGGCATGACTTTTCCTTCAACCTCCTTGATTTAACGGCTTCTAAACCTGAGTGGAAGTGTTAGATGCTACTACACTTTGGTGTGGGATATCAAAGGTGTAGTGACTGGTATGGACATGCCTCCTTTAGCAGTACTAAACCCAGATGACACAAGTATATGCTGTTTGCATATCCAGTAGTCCTGCTGAAGAAGGTCCAGCCAGTATGTGTGCAGGGAACTGCACCTTCAAGGATTGCATCTTTTGCAACTGAGGGTAACTGTCAAATTTAGGACAAAAAGAAAGTCTTGCAAAGACTTCTTGATAGTGAGTGAGAAGAACTTGTACTGAGCTTGAGGTCACTGACACTTGGGTTACATTATCAAGAGTTGGCAGCCTGCTTTTTTGGGCAGAAAAGGGAAAAATATTGAAGATAAGAACAGTTTTTGATGGATAACCAATCTTAGAAATTACTGCTTCCTGCATCTTTAGGAAACTGTCTGGTCTTCCTCCAAAACTAATAATCCTGCTTGTTGTTCAGGTACAAAGCTGCATAATGGCAGTCCAAGTTAGATTCCACTGGATTTCTTTTACAGAATGATCCAGCATTTTGCCCCTGCAGTACTTTGACTGGCACACAAAAGCCAACAGTTGAACCAGGGTGTCTAGTTTAACAGTGCAGAACACTAACCATGGATTCTGATGTCTGTTCCCTTTTAGTCTGCTCTGCACTTTCTCCTGAGATCTAGAGAAGGTGTCAGTGTTCACAATGTCAGCAGAGCATGTTTCTGTCTCTGAGCCTATGTACCAGGTTATAATATAGACAGATTGCCAAGACTTTACACTGTCTAAAGATAAAGGGTAACTTACTGTTCAGTGTGTCCTATGTAAATCCTGTCTGTTTCTCTCCATTTCCCCTCCAAATGAGTGTGTTTGCAGGTCAAATATAAGGAGGCTAGTTTGTAATGCCTTAGGCATGAAGAACTGCATGGAGAAAGTGAAGGAAAGCGGCACAGGCCCACAAACCAAACCTTAGAGCTAGTATTCTAATTATGCATGAATCAAAATGTCTAGTGTAACGTAGTTATTACCAGTAAATTGAGATATGCATTTATACATAATGAAGCAATAGGAATTAATATACCAATAGCTTGAACTTCCTGCTTTGATTCTCAAATTTTGGGTTTTTTTAGAGAATGTGCTGCCTCTGTAGAGAAAGGGGCAGAATGTATAGATAGGGACAGAAGCATGGCACCAAAACTGTAAATCAGGAACTAGGATCAGCAGAACTCGCCTTTATAACCTCTTGTCTGGTTCATATTAGTGTCCTGAGCATGTAAAAAGCAGGGCATGAACTAAGCATGTTTAGGGGCGAGATGAGGTTTCTCACCTGCTGCAGCTGTAGCAAGGAAAAGGGTGCAGAGTTTCTTACAAGGTGCAGGGAGGAGCAACTGGTGGGAAAGAAAAAAAACAAAGCCACAAAACAACACAAAAAAACCCACCAACAAAAAAACTCCAACAAACCTCCAAACCAACAAACAAGCAATGGAAACCACAGACTCAAACTGAGTGTAGTATTTGCCAGACAGTAGGTAATAAGCTTGGATGTGGTGAGAGAAATTATTTGGAGAAGACTGAAATTAAATAAGCACAGTACATATTTTTCAGGTGTTGAATAGCTTTTTAATAGACAGTATTTTCAGGTAACTCTAGCCACATAGGCAGCTGTACTGAAGCATACTGGTACCAGCCAGCAATAATGGCACCTGCAGGAATGAACCTGAAAATACTGGTAATCTTGTATATTTTTTAAGTTCTTTAAAGAGATTTTTAAAAACAGAAAATGAGGTTTAATCACTGAAGGTCTTTATCTTCTGCAACACAGGTTGCAATTGTCTTTTTTCTTTATTTCTCTTATTAAATAAAAGGGAATTTGGGTGCCATCTTTCTGTAAACTCTTAGTGTGTTCTCTGTAATATTTCGCAAATCTTAGTGGATAATGCAGTCAATTCTGCTGGCAGTTTGAAAATAAGAGAATGTGCGGCATAACCTACATCACTAATACTTTTCCAAGTTTAAACTTGTAATGAAACATGTAGAATACTAGCTTGTTATTGCAGAATTCCATACTTCTAGCTTAGCTTAATTTTGTAAGTGGGCTTAACTTGTGCAGAACACTTCTCCATGTACAGAGGCTCAGTCTTCTTTCTTAAATAGAAAGAAGTGTCTTGGCGGAAGAAATTGTATGTCAAGTTAACTCCTATTCATACTTCATAGCCAACCATTCATGAAGCACCGTGATTTGGGTTTAAAACAGGGGTTGCATTTTTCGCATGAATACTCTTTCTAGATGTATAAGAATTGCCAAACGAAGACAGGACTATTGTAAGAGAAGATAACTATTTTATGGTATCAGAAGTTAGACTAAATGAAATCCTTTGAGCCAACTTCTCAAGCAACAAGTAAATTTGTAAGACAGATTTAGCCCAGTGGTTAACCATGGTCATTCTTAAGTCTTTAGAACACTATGCATGGTTTTAAATACTGTCAATTTTTTTTGTGATGAGTAAGCCATTGTATCCTTTGTATTTCCCTTCAGTATAACCTGGGGAATAAGCTACTTTAGGATGTCGGTGAAGTTATCCTCCTTTTGGAAAGCATAACAGCAAAGGAGAAGTATTGAATATAAATTCATTTAAAATTACCTTAATACTTAAAACAAGCCAGAAAATACTTAGACTGAACTTCTGATGGCATTCTTACATGGATTAGTGGAGGAAATTATTGGTGTAACTACAAACTGTGTACTCCCATTGCACGTTTTACATGGTAACAGTGAAAGAATGTCTCCCTGCAAATTCTGATGTTTTTCCAAAAGGCAGCTTGCTTTTATATCTATGCATCTTTGAGGATTTCAAGATAAGAATTTATTCTTTTGACACTGTAAAGAGGAACTGTTTAAAAATGAACTTGGAAACTCTGCACCTGTATACAAATTTTTTTAGCAATAAAGCAGCACAGGCTGAGAATGCACTAAAACTGGATGTGTCATCTGTTCAGAAGACAAATTAATCAACTTACTTCACACTCCACTTCTGAGGTGTCTGTACTTTTGCTGTATCTTTGTCAAAACTTAACAATTTGAGCTGAACTGATATATGCTGGATATCTGCTTTAGGGCCAGCTGTTCCAGCAGATTTCAAGCACAAGAGCCTCTAACTTGGAAGGCAACTAAACAAAAATTGTTATTCCACTCATAAGATGAGTAACTTACCAGTTAAAAGTTTCAAGGGTTGTTTTAGAGGGTAGCAGAACCCTATGTTGCTTGTATAGATGGCCTAAAAGTAATAAGCCCCTCAGGTAACTGTTTTATATACACGGATTGTTTATTGTTTTGATAACTACATTTCTGAAAAATTTCTTCTGTGGTTGGCTTGTCACAACCTGCAGGGAAGCACTACTTTCCTTGCAGTTGCTGCTGCAAGCAGTTTTGGCAACTGCTCTAACGCAGCAGTAGGACATCACCTCATCAGGATTACCGGAGAAGTCTTTCAACGCTGCCACAGGCTTTCCAAAATCTGTTGTGGATTGCTGACCCTTCTGCTACCTTATGGAAGATTCACAGTACGATTGTTACTTCAATAGCCTGATCAACCAGTGTTTCATTTTCTATTGGGTTTTATCTGTGGATGCCAGAGAAGACAGCTGCTGATTAGCTAACATAAGAAGGCCTGAGCTTGAGACTTGCTTTCTAAGTGGTTGTTATTTATTTAAACAGAGAATCCATCCCTTGCAAGCCAGACTGGCCCTGCCTGCACTGAAGGCTAGAACACATCTCAAGATGCCTAGCTACAGGAGATAAGACTCGACTCTAGAATAACAAAAACATTTATTCACTGAGCAATTTCAGATTAAAAGGAATTTGAATCCCGGACAGGCTGTGGGATCAAATGCTGACTCACAAATAACTTTATAAGTATCACTTAAATCAAAATGCATCCATAGGTTTAACTTGGTATCTCAGTAAATGTTCATCTCAAATTACTGAAGATAATGTATTTATTTTATTTATTTAAGATTGCATCTTAAACCAGAATTTACTTAGAGGTCCTCCCAGTTCAAAAGATTACAGAAATGTAGTTTAAAAAATTAACAGCTATTATTTAGCATATATTCATTATTTGTTTAAATTCATGCTAAGTAATATAATGTGAGGAACTGTTCATTAAATGCTTCATAACAACCCAGGACTCAAGCAAGATAAACCGATGTTTTATTCCTGCAAACATAATCAAAGAAAAAGAAGCAGGCCTCTGACTCACAATATTGGCAATGATTGGCACAATATGAATTTCTGAATGTCAGCTTTTTTTTTTATTTAAAAAATTCTTTTTCACAACTGTAATTATAATATAAAAATGTAACTGACAGCTTTCTTTCCCTTTTAGGCATTGACACTTAGGCAGATGAAGCAAAGCTATTTAGCACTATTATACACAGTATATATAGACATAAAATATATAGCAAGAAAGAGTCCCATTGCAGAAACTGAAATGAAAGGGCAAAAGCAAGTAGTCCCATTATCAATCACATTTCTTAGACTAAGGCAACAACAAAATGCTGTCACTTAGGAAGTACCACAAAGGTGAAGTTATAAAATGGAAAACATTTACCTGAGGTGGAAAGATGCTTGCATGTAGCATCACTGGAATTAAGCTGATCAAGTAAATAGAATCCTCTCTAGACTACTACAGACAATTACTAAACTTCCCATAAAGTATTTGATCCCCTTAGGGAAAAACATTTGCCCTTTAGGCAGCAAAAAGGAGAGGAAAAGAACCCTCAACCTTCCAACAAACAAGAATTAGGGATAAAGATACTCTGTCCTGGTAACAAATGGTAAGTAGTGCTCCTTCTTTTCCATCAAATTATTTTCCAGTGTTTGGAAATAAGCAGAACCCATTCAAAATAGAAAGAAATGCCAATTAGGTGTTTTTTATGAAATATCTTGACTGGCCAATTGAAGGCAGCAGGCAGATCATTAAAACTCCAGCACAGCAGCTCCCGTGACTGAGCAGAAGTGAAGGAGAAGACTGTTCCTTGGTTTCACAGTTTCAGCCCCAGAAAGAAGTGCTCAAATTTGTTAAAGGCAGTTGCTCACAGCCTAAATGGACGTATTTGACTCAGTCCTGTGCAGTCATGGGGCTGCATTCCAGAGGACTTGGCAAGCGCATGGGTTGCCCTTTAATTGAAATCCAAAACCTTGTGCTAGAGCCTGCATTGTGCCATCCAGATTCATGCAATAAGAACAGTGTGTAGCATCTGTGACATGCTAGCCTGCTCCTTTTGCAGGCCACACACACTGAGCAAATCTGAAATAACTATTCAGTCCATTTAGCAGTGCCTGCATATGAGATGTAGCTAATGAGCCACTTCACCAACAACCAGCTGCCATTAACACCCAGGCTGCCATTAACACTCTATCTATATGAAAAGGTCAGACAAAAACTTTACATCTCTAAGAATGATCAATTTATAACAGCTCCTCTTGAATATCACCTTGTTAGTGTGTTTGTATAGCTCCAGAAGCCTGACTTTAGTATTTCAAAGGCTGTTTTTCCCCCCAAGAGAAAAAACCAAAGTCACAGTTATACTGCCTCAGAGAGTGATGTGCTGCATGTGTGAGTTATTCAGTCTTCCAAGCATAACTTCAGTATGTCAGGTTTTCAGGTGTTCCCCTGAAGGGATGCAACTTAATCATCAGTTCTTTCCATACACAGATAAAGTGACAGATCAGCACTCAAATCTGATCTGGTGCATTATTTCACCATAATGAACAAACTCAGCAGAGATGCAGAAACAACTCCAGCAGTTCTTGAAAACAGCTACTAGTTGATCCTAACTCCTGCATATCCTGGTGGTAGGCCATCTGTATCTGATGCAGAGCTCTGCCATTGTGTTGCATAATTACTTTGTTCCAGTTCCTTCAGCTTCTTCGTCAGCAATTCTATGCGAATGTGGAACTCCACAAGCTTTTCTTTCAGCTAGAAAAAAAGAGAAATAAGAGTACTAAAACTAGCAAAAAATGTCCTAATGCTGCATCTTTGAATGATCTGCATCAAGCGCACTTTCAGTGGCTTAAGAGCAGCTCATTTTTAAGATGGAAAAATAGTAGGGCTTGAATCTTTATACTGCATGTCTAGTACAGACAAAACTGGCATCCAGATCATAGGTCTGCACTACAAACTGGAGATGGATGAATGTGTGCCAGCATCAGCCCTTCCAGAGACGTAGGGAAATACTCTATTTAAGGAGATGGAGTTACTAGAGTTTTACTATGATGAATCTGATCTTTCCTAGTTAAGTAATTACAAGTTTTCACACAACCGGAGACCTTCTTTGACAATATCTGGACAAAATGTTTCATTATTAGCTTAGGAATACATGTGGACACATTATTTCTCAAAAAGCAAAGGCCAGATTCTTGAGCTTGTTCTAGTTAACAAGCAAACTCTCTACAGTTACATAATTTGTGTTTGCAATGAAGTACTATCATTTTTTTACTTCATAAAATTGCATCTCAACTTTACAAGTCTTGCTTGGATAAGATTTTTGCATTTTAGTCTCACTTGAGCTGTAAAAACACTATGATCTTATGGACACTGGAAGATGATTTTAAAGAGGACAAAAGAAATGTCACAGGCCCATTAGAGGAGAAACTAAACTAGGCAACTAAACTCAGAAAACATGAAAAAAAAAAAGTAAGGAATAAGTAAACCCATGAACTGGGTACGCTGGCTCTCTCCTACATACCATATGGGACAGACAATTTACTAAGATAACAACTAACCAGGTTACAGACAAGAACATCCAATTTAAACACCAAAGAAGGAGGAAGGTCCTAGTGCTGCCTCTGAAGCTACAAATACTGCCATGCTGTTTTGAGCTTACACAAAATATATAACTGTGCAAGAATCCCTTTCAAATTAACAAATTACTATTTTTTAATTCTTCAACAGTGATAACACAAGTAGTAATACTTAGGCGAAGTCTGTATAAATGGTCCTAGGGTTTTTTCTTTTCATGGTAGAGAGGTAAAAGGATAAAAAACTTTTGCCAGAAATTTAGCTACAACTGGATATGTTTTGCAGATTAGGGGTCTTAGAAAATGTTCCATGTGTCTCACACATTGAGGCAGTCACTGTAATATAAGTCAGCATTTTCTCAGTCTTTTGCACTTAAAAAACCAGTAATTGTATCCATATTTTGGAACTAATATCCCAAATTATCAGCAGTTTAAAACTATTTTCCATTAATGTAGAGATTAATGTAGAACCCCTTACTTCCTGCACTTGTTTCTTTAAGGTCACAGCAGGAAAATCCACCTTAGAAGCTTCTATAACCATTTGGTTTTCTAAGAGATAACTGGAAAACAAAAGGGGATAGGGAAAAAACCCACAAGAAAAACAGTTAAAAACCACAGTTGTGTTCATTGTTTAGACAGATTATTTAAGACAATTTTAAAGCAGATACAAAGTTGTTGCCAAAAGTAATCAATAATTATGAAAATATGAAAAATGTAACAATGGTTTTACTTTGACATCTTAAGATCCTCTCATCACCAGCTATAAGTAATTAAGTTTCTACAGTCAAGTCCTTAACCTGTCATGGAACTACTTTGATACCTTACATTATTAGCTGAGCAAATCTGGAACAGAAGGAGATTTCAGCATTTCACTCAATTAAATTTAAACCCTTACATTACAGGAGGACACTCAAGAAGTGCAAGGCAAATCAAATAGATTCACATCAACACAAACAACTTAGACATCCAGGATGTTAAAATCCCACACCAATGTGCTCAGACAAAAGTAAAGTCTCTTTAGCTGTTGGCCAGTTGTACAGTAACTTACAAATACCTGTGAAATCCCTGACTGTAAGAATACAGTGTACTCACCAGAGGATTCTGTCCTTGAAGAAACAGAACAAGCCTCGGAGATATGCCAGGTCACTGGCGGCAGAATGAAGGATGAAGCCCACAGACAAGCCACATGACCGACAGGATAATGCATTGTAAGCACTAAAACGAGAAAGGGAAAAATATTTTTAAACAAAAGCTTTTGAAACCATAGATACTACATGTCTGTCGGACAACATCAAATCTTCAGTTCTATTAGGACAAAAACCCAAGACATAATAATGCTTTCTCATTAAGAAAATAATAGATACACAAGGAATGTGAACATAAGCAGTTGGGCATGTTGTACCCAAGTAATGAAGTAATCTCTTCAATAAGTGAAGTTGCAATTATGGAAGAAAATACAAGTCTTTCTATCACAGAGTGGTTTAGACTACACTACTCAAACAGGATTTAACTGATAAAACAATGCATATGCCAGGTCACAAACGTGAAATTTCCTCTTGGTAAAACAGATTATTGCTTCATGCAGAGAGAGGGGGTGGGAATGATAGAAAAAAAATAGCAAGTCTTATATTTAAAAAGTTCCCAGTTCTTATACTTTGTAAAACAGCCTTTAAACATCTTTTAAGTGAGCTACTGCTTCTGTAAGCCCTCAGATGACATTTTACGCCCCTCCCATTAGGCCGGTCCCTGAGTTACCAAACCTGTTGGTAACTGTAGCCTAATGAATAGAGCAGCAGAAATTGCCCGTTTTCAGTACTAAGAAAAACCAACCAAACAAAACCCACAAAAAAACCCCCAACCAAACAAAAAACCCCAACCAAACACCACCAAACCAAACACAACCCAGAGATGCTTTAATTCGGATAAAAGACCTTTTAGGGAAGGAAAGAAGGAGACCTAAACGGCAGGCCGTCTCTTACTGCATTCCTCAAATGCTCCTCTTCACTACAAAGGTTAGAGCAGTAAAACTTTTGATTTTGACAGAAGCAAAAGCTACATCCCTACAAAAGGTTTCTCCATCCGAAGCGGTGAAGCAGAGGTACAAAAAGCACTTGAGAGTTTGCTAAGCCCCTCACAACC